ATTGGATCCATGACTTCTAATGGCTAATAGAGTATAAGAACAATACAAAATCAGAGTTAGAAGCTTACCTTAATATACTTGTTTGATCTTCTTGTTCTTGGAGCTTTAGAGTCACAAATGTCACTCCTCTAATGGCTTACAAACACCAACTAGCAAGAGGATGATTTGAGAGAGAGGAGAGGGAAGAAATCGGCCAGGTTTTCTTTGCTTTTTCAGAGGTGCCGATTCCCCTTACCCCAAGGTTCTATTTATACTTGTAAGGCTCCTAGGGTTTCACCCTTAAACCCTAATTGGATAACTTTTACTCAAAGCAATCCAAATCCTTTCCAAGATAAGCCCTTGGACGATTTGTGGCTTATCCCAAGCCCTAGAAATCGACCAACCCTATCCATGAAGGATTTACAGCCCAAAGTGTAACTATCAAACAATTGACAGTTTATACCCTCTTTGTTTAATTAATCTCTTTAAGTCACCAAATTAATTCCCAATTAATTTATGACTTATATTAATCAAACAACAATATTATTATTCCATATATTATTCACATAATATATTAATAGTATTTATTTTCTCATAATAAATCATCCTGTCAAGTTGCTATGGTGAAGGCAACCAAAAAGGACCATGCACAATCGGGTCATATACTTGCCTAATATAGTTGCAGCCTTAGACACTATTCCAATAGTCTCTCACTTGGATAAGTCTAGTAACTATATGCACAAGTACAATTCGATTTGCAATCGTAGCTCTCAAAGATGCTGTCAAACTCTGATCTAATCAATCTTGTCCTTTAGATAAGGGATCGTACAGTCCTCTGTTAGATATCATGCTGACAATTCTATGGAACAATTTGTCTAGCATTTGGTTTCTCGATCTCCGATTTATTTGACATAGAACTTAATCGAACACATCAATTCAGTTATGACCGGGCCCGACACATAAGTCAAATCAAATCATCGAGCGGCCTAGATATCGCTTTTAACCTCTTAGGATAAAAGTAACAGATAAACTTCGACTTATATGCATTTACTTATTCATTAACCAACTATACACAACAATGCGTTTTATAACATCAAGTTACTAATGCGATTTCGCATTATCAATGTACAACCAATTAACAAATAACAAACCATATATCTAGGTTTTAAGACCATATGATATTATCGTCTTGCGATCATCCTTTTTATTATATTCCATAAGGTGATTCCAGCAAGAGTGGGTTTGTTCCAATGCTCAAAACTAGTTCATAAGCACTCATGAACGTTGCAAAAACCTTTGCTATGTCTAATACCATTCAGAAAATCTACATACCAATTCATGACAATCTTCATTCACATCTACTTCCAAAATATGAACGATTGTGGTTTATTTGAATAATTTGATTATTCTTAATAATATTCAATTATTCTGGAAGTCAAAACATGCAAAGTGAAACAACAGTTAAATGATTAACATAAGACAGTAACATTACTCATAAATAATACTCTTTTATTTAATCATCAAATGTTAATTACATTTATCTATTACACGTTTCCAATACTATCTAATCTATACTAATATCATCCTTCAGCCCAATACTCCTAGCATGCTGCAAGTGCCTAACCCTACTCAGTCCCTTCGTAAGCGGATCTGCTGAGTTATCTTCTGATGATATCCTCTTCACTACGAGTTGTCCTTCTTCTACACGATGTCTAATAAAGTGATATTTTCTGTCGATATGTCGAGATCTGCCATGATCCCTTGGTTCCTTGGTCAAGGCAACCACTCCTTCATTATCACAGAAAATCTCCATGGGCTCCTTTATGGCGGGTACAACTCCAAGATCATCAATGAAGTTCTTCAACCATATTGCCTCCTTCGACGCTTCGCTCGCTGCAATGTACTCTGATTCGCACGTTGAATCAGCTACGGTTTCCTGCTTGGAACTCTTCCAAGTCACTGCTCCTCCATTAAGGGTAAAGACCCAGCCTGACTGCGAACGGTAGTTGTCTCGGTCGGTTTGAAAGCTGTCATCACTATACCCTCGCACCTTCAAGTCATCACTCCCTCCGAGAACTAAGAACCATTCCTTCGTCCTCCGAAGGTACTTAAGGATATTCTTCACCGCAATCCAATGATCTATACCAGGATTCCCTTGATATCTGCTAACCATGCTCAAAGCAAAGGCTACATCAGGGCTAGTACAAGTCATAACATACATAATTGAGCCAACTGCGGAAGCGTATGGTACTCAGCTCATTTCTTTTTTTTTCAGCTTCGGTATTCGGACTTTGAGTCTTACTCAACTTGGCGTTACTTTGTATCGATAATTCTCCCTTCTTCGAGCTTTCCATACTAAAACGTTTTAGTACCTTATCTAAGTAAGTGTTCTGAATAAGTCCTATTAGTCTCTTATTTCTCTCTCTTACTATCCTTATTCCCAAAATATAGGAAGCTTCTCCGAGGTCTTTCATAGCGAAGCACTTCCCGAGCCAGGACTTAACTTCCTGCAGATTCGGGACGTCATTTCCTATGAGAAGTATGTCATCAACATACAAAACGAGAAAGCTAACTATGCTCCCACTGGCTTTGACATATATACACGATTCATCTTCGCTTTGTACAAATCCAAACTCTTTGACTTTCTCATCGAAGCAAAGATTCCATCTGCGAGATGCTTGCTTAAGTCCATAAATGGACTTCTTAAGCTTACACACTCTATTCGGATGCTTCGGATCAACAAAACCCTCAGGCTGAGCCATGTAAACATCCTCATCCAACTTCCCGTTATTGAAAGCAGTTTTGACATCCATTTGCCAAATCTCATAATCATGAAATGCGGCAATAGCTAGCATCACTCTAATAGATTTTATCTTCGCAACTGGTGAGAAGGTCTCATCATAGTCAACTCCGGGAGTTTGAGTAAAGCCCTTCGCAACCAATCGCGCATTATATGTGTGTACGTTTCCATCCACGTCGGTCTTATTCTTGAAGATCCATTTGCACCCAACGGTCTTACGTCCGGGTACATTATCAACCAAATTCCAAACTTGGTTGTCATACATGGATTGGATCTCGCTATCCATTGCCTCTTTCCATTTTATAGACTCCGGGCCTGCCATGGCTTCCTTGTAGCTATTAGGTTCATCAAGATTTATTAGTGTACCATCACTAATATACGTGTCCCCTTCGGTAGTAATATGAAAATCATAAAACTGGGGTTGAACTCTAACTCTTTCGGAACGTCTAAGAGGTAAGGACTGGTCAATAGGCTCAACCGGAGTTTCCTCCTCGAGTTGAGTGCCATCGGTGGAGGTTCCTTCATCTATCAATTCTTGAATCTCTTCAAGCTCGATTTGCCTCCCACTGTCCCCTTGGCTTATGAGTTCTCATTCTCGGAAAACTCCTCTCCTCGCAACGAAGACTACATTGTCCTTCGGTCTATAGAAGAGATATCCAAAGGATCTCTGCGGGTAGCCGATGAAAATACATCGCTCACTACAAGGTTCGAGTTTTTCATGAGTATCTCGTCTTACAAAATCCTCACAACCCCAAACCTTGATATGTGCCAACGAGGGAGCTTTCCCTGTCCACATCTCATGAGGTGTTTTGGCAACCTTCTTAGTAGAGACTCGGTTAAGGATATGGGTGGAAGTCTCTAAGGCATACCCCCAAAAAGATATAGGTAGTGAAGCACGACTCATCATAGAGCGAACCATGTCCAACAAGGTTCGATTATGCCTTTCTGCTACACCATTCAATTGTGGTGTCCTAGGTGGCGTCAATTGTGAAACTATTCCACACTCCTTGAGATAGTCGTGGAATTCAAGACTTAGGTACTCTCCTCCTCGATCAGATCGAAGCATCTTGATTCACTACTAGAAAAACAGCCTTTTACGACGCGCAAAACACGACGCTCTTTGATTTATGTTACGCATTAGAGAGCGACATTAAAAAAGAGTCATCTCTTCAAAAAATTTAAGAATTTAGGTCGCGCATTACTGAGTGCCCTTAAATTAGTGTCTCACGAAAAGAAATTAAAAACACGGAGGGCGCTTTATTTTATAGGCGCGTCGTCTATATTTGTCACTTTATAATTTTAATGAAAACGCGCGCTTAGTAGAGGTGGGAAACGAAATCCTCAAAATTTTGAAAAGTCATCTTCTACCTTCTTTCTATCTTTCATCTTCTCCCCTCTCCCTCCTTCTCTCTCCTCTCTGGTTCGCTTCCCCGCCACTCCTGACCTCCTTATCGATCTCATCAAACATCGTGTCCCATCCTTAATACCTCGCGGGAATCTAAAATTTAGAAAACCCCGTACTCAAAAAGTCTAAGAAACTAGGGTTTTTTCATCCCTCAAAGAACGACCCACATCCTCCATAGATCGATCTCTATCGCTTCATTTCTCACAAGAAATCAAACACTTTACGTTCATAGGGCCACAATTGCAAGGATGCTCACTCACCTTTCTAGAGAATACCTTCGCATATATAACACGATCATCTTCACAAAAATGGCTGCCACCATTTCTTGAGCGGGCTCAAGCTACGATTGACAATCGGAGCTCAAAGCTTTCGACCAAACAAAAACCAGCGTCAAAGGCCTCGTCGATGCCGGAATCCAATCAGAGCTAGGGCTTTTGTGAAGAACTTTCCCCCCCTTTCTCTACTGCGTGTTCTCTCTTCTGCATCTCCACCCTCCAATGAAATCCAATCACCAACGATCCTATAACAGTTTTTTCTCATGCTCGAACCCTAGATCTCACCTCGTACCTTGCTACATCTCTATAGCGACAACGGCTAAACAGAAACTCCACCACCACTAACGGCGGCTCGAACCCATTGATTATCTCAATTTCCTCCTCTGTTTGGGGGATGAAAACTAATGTCGAATAAACAACTTCATTTTTTGATTCAATTGCTTGATTTTGTCGATTCGTATACGATTGCATCAGCAGCTGATCCAGTCTCGCACCAAAATCTATTTGAAGAAGATTAGAGACTGTTCAGCTATAATCACGAATGACACAACCTTCACCCTCCTCCACCTTCTGTATACATGCTTCTTTGGTATCTACATGTGCGCTAAGGGACTGCATCACAAGTAACTCTGGTGACATGTATGTGAAATTCCCAATTCAATAAATGCTACCATACCTAGGTCTCGAGTATTTTATTGAATTTTTCTTTAATTTGCAGAAGTTCTCCTGGATTGGCATTTTAACGTGTGGATAATACTCTTCTTGAAGATGATGAGCCTTTTAAAGCTCCTGTTCGTTTTCAACTTTTCGGGTAAATAAAGAAACATAAAGGCGTTGAACGTATATCTTTGTGGCTGCCTCAGGCTCCCCCTGGATATTTATAAATGGTTTAGTGTTATCCTCCACATTGATAACTAGGATCTGAATTGTTTTATATGTTTGGAATTGCAGATGAAACCATTATCTAACATATCATTGAGCAATATTGGATTTAGTCTCCATAGCAGGCTTGATTACCTCAATGCCACTGTTTGCTTCTCATTGGCCGCCAGATCATATAATGATAAACTTGAAGCTTGGGAGCCTCTTGTTGAACCTGTTGATGGTGTCTTAAGGTGGGTTATCTCTTTCTCTAGAATTTTTCAAATAGGTTTTAGTGATAAATTTCTGAAGGGATCCCTTTTCTCTTTCTTTCTCCTTGTTTAATGTCTTCTTGTTTGGTTTCAATGTGCAGGTACTAAAATGATGTTAATGCTCCAAGTGCTGCATCTCAATTACTTTTGATGTCACAATGACTTTTGCTGTAACTGGCTTGGTCTCAGGTGCAGCCCAAAATATCCTTGTCTGTACACGAAGAACTGCATCTTGGGGAGCACATATCTGCTCATCTGGGACCTACAATCCATTTCTTCAATGTAAGTTGATACTTGATATAATAAACTTAAAGTTTTTCAATTGAAATTCAAGCGCTTTCCTAACTACACTCACTTCCCCAGAAATCTGTTTGTTATTCAAGACAAAAGAAAAACACACAAAACAGACCCTTCTGCACACAAGAACCCAAATATTTCCAAAACTCTTCCACTTTTAACCTTATTTTCTTGAGATACATTAACACCAGTACCCTTCTTTTCTAGTTCTCACCTTTCAAACTGTTTTAAAAATGATCATTGTCCAGGCTGTCAACATGTGTGTTACTCGAAAAACTAATTTTCAGATTTCTAGAAGTGAACAAGACTGAGCCCTCAACCAATTAAACATATGGTTCACTTTTAAAAAATCTGACATTTATCAATACATTTGTTTCTGGTGTTTTAGTTCCTAAATCATACATATGGCATGTGGACAATGACTTCTATTTACAACCATCTACCTCATTGATCTTGGATGCCAACAAAGAGGGTTTACAAGTATTTGGTTAAGATTTCATGAATGATGTGCAAGTTGCATATAAATACAGTTATGTCCCTGTAGAAGCGTATCTGTATTTTGTGGATAATGGCAGATTCTCTGTGGATGGTGTGCTTTTCGATAATCCAGTGACTCCATCAGCAGCTTTAGTAAGTTTTGAACTCCTCTTCACCTCTACCCTACTCCATCTACAACGACTCCTTAAATTTACAAACCCTAGTCCAGTTGCGCTTCTAGTCAAATCAGGTACCTATCTATCTGCTTTCTGAATTTCCTGGATTGGAAATTTCTTGATACTTCGCTAGCTTTTAAACAAACAAAAATCAGTTTTTCTCTCAATAATTCGTTGGATTTTTCATTGGTGTTCCCCTTACTGGTTTCGATAACCTCTCTAATCTGTGAGGTTTGTGTTTACTTTCTTGCCCTCCCTCTCTCTAAGAAGAAAACGCAGCCTCATCGTCTTCAATCACCCAACGACATAGGTGGAACTCAAACTTCTCAGACCAAAAGAAATATTGTACGAAAGAAAAGTTATCCATTAATGGAAGAAGTGCAGGGGGTTGCTTATTGGTGCTGTTGTGAACATGAGACCTGATTTATTTAAGGCTACTATAGCTGGAGTACCATTTGTAGATGTTGTGACTACAATGCTTGGTCCAACTATTCCTCTTACAACTGCAGAATGGGAGGTGATTTATATATAATATTTTTTTGTTTTGGAAACTCAAAGCAGGATGCTATGATAATATTAGTATGTTTCTTTCTAAATGTGAATGACTTGCTCTATTGCAGGAATGGGGTGATCCTCGGAAAGAAGAGTTCTACTTTTACATGAAATCATATTCACCAGTTGATAATGTGAGTGCCAATGTATCTTGTTTTAGTTTAACTGACATAAATCCATCTGACAGATCATCAAATGAAAATGTTGAAGTTAATTACTGATGGGTGTCTATTTTGAATAGGTAAAAGCTTAGAATTATCCAGCCATAGTTGTTACTGCTGGAATAATGGTAGGTTGTCAAGAGTGATATTCAGGATGTGATTGATAAAGATGGTGAGGGGTTCACTATGGTCACAAAAAAAGCTGGAAATGCAGGGACTGCTACTGTGAAGGGGGTACGGTACAGGTGATATTCATCCCAATGTTTCTGGAAGCAAAGGTAGTAATTGGAATGGAGGGAATAACAAAAGAGGAAGCTATAATAGTGTTAATAAGGGTAATAAAGGTTGGAATAACAGAAGTCATAGGGGAATTGGAATAGGGGAGTGTTAGCCATTAGAATCATCAAAAGAAACACGAGTTTGTTGCTGCAAATAATAAATCTTTCATTGTAGATAAGCAGGGGCATAATGGGAAAGAGAGTGTGGATTCTAGGAAAAAAGAGGAAAAAGTGGAGAAGGGAAAGGATTTTAAGGGTAGCCAAATTATAAATCTTTCATTGTAGATAAGCAGGGGCAGTCTTCTCCTGATTCTATGGAAAAGGTTGTCACATAATCAACTTTGTGATTGTATATTGATGATTATAGATTGGTGGCTTTGAGAATCTAACAATAACTTTAACTTTTTTTCTTGCAGATATCAGCAGAATCCTGTCCTACTTCTGATCTGTTGGTCAATAATTCTGACAGTGGTCAAACTGAGGCTATAGAATCTAAGTGTGATACCAGTGTGAATTCCAATCTTGGGAACCATGATTGTTTAAATCCTATGAATGATATCCTTGATACCATGTAAGTTTGAAAATTTAATCATTGCAACTTACTAAGTATCAAAATAAGAAGGTTGGATGTTTTACTTTGTGATGTTTTTTTATTTATTGTTTATCAGAATTGTTACTTTGCTCTAAGAAATAATTGTCATAAACGGATTACTCTACCATACACAGGGGACAAATACCTGCTTCATAAACAAAGCACAAAATGGATCACAGTTATGACAATGGCGCCTCCAAGGCTGGAAAACGGTGTCGGGGTGTTAGATAAGCCAGTAATAGAGAAAACAACTCCTGGAAGAGAGTCTGAGTTTGACTTGAGGTATTGTATCACTTTCAATGAAGTTTGAAATGCATATAGTAAAAGATTAGGTCGATTTACCTTCTTTTTTTTTTGTTTTTTTAGGAAATCAAGGAAAATGGCACCACCATATAGAGTGATGCTACACAATGACAACTACAACAAGAGGGAATATGTTGTGCAAGTGTTGATGAAGGTTATACCTGGAATGACAATTGACAATGCATTTAATATCATGCTCTTGACCTGGAAACCACTCTAATAGGGCTTTTCCAAAAAAAAATTGACCATCTTGAAAATATTCCAAAACCACAGGGTGGAAATATCTCTACAATTACATGTGATTTATCAGTAAGTATAATCTTTAATTTTAATCCATTCAAATATGTGACATGGTTTTGTTTTATTTATTTATATTTATACTCATGTATATAATGTATAAAAAAATTACATAAACAGGAATTATGTAAAGATTGGTTATCAATTTTAATGATTGTTACTTCTGCACGATCTTCAATTAACATAAGACATTTGGAGAAAGCAACAGTGTCTACTGGAAAAGAAGGCTTGTTATCTGAAGGGAATGGTCTACTGGAAATGAAGGCTTGTAACATTTTTGGTTCTTGTTCCCAACTTTACTTGGAACAGGGGCCGAAAGTGTAACTTACTCTAAATTTTATATGTAAATTTTATTTTATATTTTGAAGGGAAATTTACTGAATATTGATTGGTTGATGCAGTTAACTAGAATTGGTCGAGATGCAGTTTTATATGTTGAGTCGCTCGTTGAGTCAATCATGGGAGGATTTGAAGAGCTAATCAACATTCTTGGTTCTGAAGGAGGTTTTGGCTCTTTGGAGACACATGTTCTTACTATTTTATCAATTTCCTTAAAAAGTTACCAAATTCATGTATTAAATTTGATAAAGCTAACTTAATTGCTTTTTTTTTTAAATCCTAGCATCTACCAGAAGTCAGCTGAAACTACAAATGGCTTTTGATGGGCAGGAAAGATATATGAAGGTATGATCTATATTGTAATTCAGATTCTATAACTTTTATCATGTAATCTCTTAAGTCTTAATACCCATTATTCCTTATGCATGTAGAGATCTTGGGAGCCAAGTGATAAAGCTGATCTTCACTTTGTCTACAAAGATGTTGAAGGAGTATCAACTCAATGGGATGATATTCAAAGAAAACTCAGGAACTTACCTCCTAAACCCTCTGCCTTCAAACCCGATCCCTTCACTCCTGCAGAAGATGAAGATTCCAAACCTAAAACCAAATCTCGGATCGATAAAAAGACAGAAGAACTCAAAGATTTAGAAGATGATCTTGATGATAGTTGTTTCCTCAAAGAATACAAGTACCTTCAACTCCCTTAATCCTAATATCATTTTATGAGGGTATTAAATTTCATGTGATATTTTCATGGTTTCATTTTCTTTTGTGTTCTTGAAGCAGAAAGAGGTTAGCAGAGATGAAGCAAACAGTGGAAGTTTGAACTCGGAATGTTCGGGCATCATCTATGGTGGCCCGGGCAGCATCTATTTCAATATTGATTGTGTGAAAGTCATCTACTAAAGCAAGGTTGGTGTAAGAGTTGATGATGAGAACATTGTTCCAAGACCTTCAGTGAGTTATGATGATGTCCCTTAATAGCAATGTAGTATTAGGTTATATAGTTACCGATGATTACTTGTATTTGACATTTGATGCAATGAATTATCTTACTTATTTATTGTATTTTATTTTGTATCTTGTATGACATTAATTTTTGTGCAATGGATTGTATTTTTTGTATATGGTGTTTTATTTCTATTATGAGAAATTAAATGCAAATTTAATTTAAAAATTAATAAATATATAAATTTATTTTTTTAAACATTTAAATTTACGATACGCAAAAATGTGTGTCATCTTCATTTATGACATGGCCTTTCTTGACAGGGGCTTTCTTGATACGCATTGCGTGTCATTAACACGCGCGTCGTAAGGTTACGACACGCGAACACGTGTCGTCTTCCTTTATGACAGGGCCTTCCTTGATACGCATTGCGTGTCGTAAACGCGCGTCGTAATTGCGCATCGTAAATGAGCGTCGTAAAAGCGCGTCGTCTATAGACGACGCGCCAAAGCGCGTCGTCTCTCTTTATGACAGGGCCTTCCTTGACGCGCATTTGCGCGTCGTCTGAGCCTTTTACGACGCGCAATGAGCGTCGTAAAAGGCTATATTTCTAGTAGTGATTTTCCTGCCCAATTGATTCTCCACTTCATTCTTGAACTCTTTGAACTTTTCAAATGTTTCTGACTTTTGCTTGATTAAGTAGATATACTCATATCTACTATAGTCGTCGATAAAAGTCACATAGAAGCGGTTCACATACATCGGTATGTATTAAGTCCAATAGACCCTCACCCCTTTCACACGTACTTGTGAAAGGTGACCTAGTCATCTTTCCAAGCAAACAAGACTCGCATGTGTCATCTTCCTTAAGGTCGAATGACTCCAACACTCCATCCTTTTGGAGTTTAGCTATGCGCTTCTTGTTGACATGTCCAAGACGACAATGCCACAAGGATGCTCTATTCATACTATTGGAAGAATCCATGCATAAAACATCATTTCCTAAGTTACCAATAATCATAACGGTTTCATAAATTCCATTACATCGTATAGCTTCAAAATAAAAGACACCATTTAGATAAGCCAAAATAGAACCATTCTCATTATTAAAAGAAAATCTAAAACCTTGTCTAAACAAACCATGAAATGAAATGATGTTTCTAGCCATTTTAGGCGAATAGCAACAATTTTTCAAATCTAAAGATAAACCATTCCTAAGCACTAAAGAATACACTCCAATCTTGGTCACAGGCGACAATCTTCTGTTCCCTATGATTAGATTTATTCTTCCATGCTCCACGTCTCTATTTCTTCTTAGTCCCTGCACATTAGAACAAATGTGGTAACCACAACCGGTATCAAGAACCAAAGAAATATCATGAGATGAATCGTTAGATTTAATTGTGTATATACCTGCGAAAGACGGCTTGATCTTTACTTTCTTGATGGCTTGCAGGTACTATGGGTAGCTTCTCTTCCAATGTCCTATCTTGTGGCAGTGGTGGCACTCTGCCTCCTTTGGGTTAGGGCAGGGTTTAGCAGGATCAACTTTGGTCCCACTAGAAGAGGCACCATCCCGGGGCTTAACCTTGCGATGGTTCTTAGACGAAGCCTTCCTCTTCTTTCCCCTTCCTTGTCCAATAGCCAACACAGGAGCAACGAGTGGATTAGGAGTTGGTGCAACAGACTTGTCCTTGAAGTTGCTTTCAGCGACCCTCAAGAGACCTTGGAGCTTGCTTAGGGTGACCTCTTCTTTGTTCATGTGGTAGGTCATCCTAAATTGATTGGAACTTGGAGGCAAAGAGTGAAGCACCATGTCGATCTCCAAGTCTTCCCCAAAGTCAACATTCAACTTGCAAAGACGGTCGACATACCTTTGCATCTTTTGCAAGTGCAAGGTAAGAGACTCTCCATGACCCATCTTAGCAGAAATCATGTTAGTGAAAATCTCATAACGCTCTTGTCTCGCGTTTTGGTGGTATCTCTCCAACAAGTCTTGGTGCATCTCGTACGGGTACATGTCCTCATAGGACTTTTGGAATTTGGAGTTCATAGTGGCTATCATGATGCAATGTACCTTCGTTGCATCATGCTCGTGAGTTTCAAAAGCGGTCATTTCAGCCGGAGTAGCGATTTCAGGGTTGATTTTCTCGAGCTTCTCGTCGAGGACATACTCCTTGTCCTCATAGCGAGCAATCGTGCGAATGTATCTTATCCATTCACTAAAGTCCGTCCCATCGAAAGTGACCTTTTGACAAAGGCTCATCAATGTGAATGAACTAGCAGCAGCGTTGTTTGTGTTTGACATCTACAAATAGAAAGGACAAAGATAGATTAGAATATGAATCCCTAATTATCACCCAATAAGAAAAATTAGGGCTAGGATCCAACAACAACATTTACACATTAGAAAAGGGATACCGTAATCTAACATGCAAACATTTTGAAGGTAAGTGAATGATGATTCACTAATTCTCAGCCATAAAACATAACTTTAAGTCTAAATGTATTGAGAATTCCTAGGTTTAGATGAGATTCATTGAAACTTTTCAATGGCATGTTTAAATCTCGATATGCCCCTCTCGTTTGTGACTGGGATACCGAGGATCACAAAGTGGGTGTGAATTACCATGCAAATTCACATGGTGCCTTCATTGTAACAATCACCTATTCGACATGCCGGTAAACCACACACGCTCCATCGAACTATGATAAACAATGAATCACCCTTTGCCACCTTTGCTTAGAACCAATTAATGTGCCGGTAAACCACACACGCTCCACTAACTTCTTAGCAAGGGTGCAAAGTGTAATTTCATGGGATTGCATCAATTCACTTTTCCTAAAGTAACTAAGATTGGGAAATTTTGAAAAACATGTAGTTACTTTGTATTTCATATTATACTTTTAATGAAGAGATGAGGTCGCCCTATCCTACCCGTTCGGCTAACGACCCTCCACTGATCAAGCAAGCGGTAGGTGTGAGTGTACACCCATTAAGCGCTATTTTATAGGCAACAACCTTATACCCACCTTATAGACCGGCTTCGTGAATGAGACCTACTAACGGTAAGACTAGCATTTTAATTATACATATATATATATATATATATATATATATATATTAATCTTGTAATATTATATTAGTATAGGGTTGGATTTTAAACTTGTAAAATTCTAGGGTTTTAAATTTAAATTGTCTAAATTAAACTTTTAATCACAAAACATAAATTTCAAAACTTGAGGGCAAGTTTTAAACTATTCAAAACATAGAGGATCAAATAACAAATAATCTAAATTAACAATTAATCACATAATTATCCATATTTGATTTATTTATGATTTCTTGCTAAACAATTTACCAATTTAATCAAAATAATTAATTAATTATCATATAAGGAAATTAAATATTTTATTAATTGACAAATATCTTTAATTAGATCAAGATTACAACCATATATATCAAAAAATCGGATTAGGGTTGATCTAATATTATAAAGGCAAGTTTCCATAAGATAAATATCAAAAAATCCCGATTTTTGCTCTTCCTGACGCTCGGACTCGCCGAGTCAGGCCAACTCGCCGAGTCCACCATGGGACTCGCCGAGTCCATGACTCAGAATCACAAAACTCGAATTTTTGCAAGCAAGAAACAAACAATCATGCATCAATTTAATAGAAACCAATCTAGGCTCCGATACCACTGATGGGTTTAAGCCATATGAACATTCCTATGTGCACATACAAACCCTAATGCTTGGATCTAGGTTTCTCTAATTAAACATGCATTGGATCCATGACTTCTAATGGCTAATAGAGTATAAGAACAATACAAAATCAGAGTTAGAAGCTTACCTTAATATACTTGTTTGATCTTCTTGTTCTTGGAGCTTTAAAGTCACAAATGTCACTCCTCTAATGGCTTACAAACACCAACTAGCAAGAGGATGATTTGAGAGAGAGGAGAGGGAAGAAATCGGCCAGGTTTTCTTTGCTTTTTCAGAGGTGCCGATTCCCCTTACCCCAAGGTTCTATTTATACTTGTAAGGCTCCTAGGGTTTCACCCTTAAACCCTAATTGGATAACTTTTACTCAAAGCAATCCAAATCCTTTCCAATATAAGCCCTTGGATGATTTGTGGCTTATCCCAAGCCCTAGAAATCATCCAACCCTATCCATGAAGGATTTACAGCCCAAAGTGTAACTATCAAACAATTGACAGTTTATACCCTCTTTGTTTAATTAATCTCTTTAAGTCACCAAATTAATTCCCAATTAATTTATGACTTATATTAATCAAACAACAATATTATTATTCCATATATTATTCACATAATATATTAATAATATTTATTTCCTCATAATAAATCATCCTGTCAAGTTGCTATGGTGAAGGCAACCCAAAAGGACCATGCACAATCGGGTCATATACTTGCCTAATATAGTTGCAGACTTAGACACTATTCCAACAGTTATAGACCGGACCGAAGGGTACAACGATACAGATCGGGCTGGAGTGCCCAACGAGCTATGACTGGACCAGAGGGTCCAATGAGCTACGGGACTGGAGCGTCCCGCTGAGACACATCGACCGGAAGGTCGTATTATAGCCTTGAGTGGCGTATGTATTGTATGCGGTATTCTGGGGAACTCACTAAGCATTTATGCTTACAGTTGTTGTGTTATGTGTTTCAGGTAACAGTGATGCGCGCGGGAAGGCGTCGGCATGATTCGTACACACACTTGTGGAGTTTATGTTTGAGATTCTGGGGAGATGTTTTGTGATGATAACATTTGATACAATATGTTTTGACATTATTTTATGAGTAAATGTATGTTTTAAAAATAAAAAATTGTTTTGAAAATTTGCATTGTTACAAGTTGGTATCAGAGCTTTGGTTTGAGGGATTTGGATGCACCTTCGGGTGTATCTGAACTCAAACTGAGGATTTGAGGAAAATTTTTGATAATGAAGTAAAATTTTTGAAAAGAGTAAAAAGAGTTTTAAGACAAACAGAGCAGAGTCGTGTATAC